AGCTAGTCATTAGACAGATATTCAGTACTCATGGATCTTATAGGCTTTCTGATATGCTTCGAGATGCTCGGATTAGAGGCAGACCAGATTGGATCCTACCTTTTATGTGGGAAGAGCTTCAGACTTATTGGAGCGGAGAGAGGTTTACTAAGATAACTCCTAGAATAAAGGGAACTGTCGTTCGAAAAAAGGCATTTCTTTCCACACATGAGGCTCTATTCTTCTACACGAGCATGCTATGAGGATAGTAAGTTTTATTCCTATACATAAGTTTTATTATTATCTGATAGTTATAAATAATCACAAAATTTTTATTATGTATTGTAGGAAAAAGAGACCAGGAGGACTCCCCATTTTTTTGAGATTTTTAAGCATACACATGTTAGAAAGAAAGATGGTGAGGAGGTGTGGGTGGGTCAGCGATCAGAAAAGACTTATGTAAGTAAATTTTATTTAACATCTTTATTAAATTTTATGTAAGTATACTTATATTATTTATTAACTTTTATAATTAACATCTTTAATTATTAAACTTATTTTATGATATATTTTGTGTATGTAGGCTGACTTCCAGGCTGCCAAATCCTCCTAGTCAACACTTGAGGAGACGTCCGCTCTAGAGTTTGAGCAGATAGCAGACATTGAGCTATGAGAGAGGTGCGCTGGGGGGAGAGCCTTCGGGCCATGTATACGGTCTTGGGCGGTAGAGTTCTTCTTAGTCAGTCCACTATCCTCCATCCGATAGTGCGGATCAGTCTGTGAGATTGAAGGTGTAGACTCTCCATCAAGAGAATCAGGAGTTTCGGGAGAAGGTGGAGAGCGTGGAGCTTGCCCTTCATTATCTATATAAGGTGGTTGAAGGAATGAGGAACACACCACCTGATCAGCCATGCCTTCTAACGCCTGCTCACAATTCTAACTCTTCTGCATCTTAGTCGAGCGATGGCGGCTGTTGGGAGTGATTTTTCTTTTTTTGAGATTTTGTTTCATATATATGTTTAGTGACACACTATGTTATGTTTGTAATAAGATATTTGAATATTATTTATGCACATGTTATTTCAGTGTTATGTAAATGTCTTAAATAAATTATCATAAAATATATATTTCAAAAATATTTAAAATTAATAATAAAAATTAAATAAAATAATTTTAAAATTAATAATAATAAAAATAATTTAATAATTAATAATAAAAACAATTTAATATTTAATAATTAAGAATAATAATTTTATTTCAATGCAAATTAATTCGTTGGTAATTGTGTCAAAATTTCCGACGCAATTGTTGCGTTGAAAATTTTCGACGCAAACATGCATCAGAATATTACCGACGAATTAATTTGTGTCGGAAATTTCCATTGTCTTCCACCTTGGAAATTTCCAACACAATTTACGACCCAATATTTGTCAGAAATTTTCGACGTAAAATTTTTTGCGTCGGTAAATTTTATCCGACGGCCATTTTTCTGACGAATGCTTTTGCGTCGATAATGCCATACCGATGCAAATTTCTGTCTTACCGACCCCTTTTTTTGCGTCGGTAATTTGTATATTTCTTGTAGTGTTACTTGCGCTTTTACAATGCCCAAGTATTTATCAGTTACAGACAAATTAAAAGTTGAGTTATCCTTTTTATTTTTGGATTCAAGATTCTTGTTATCCATGACCTGATTCATCTGCTCTACAGTTATAAAGATGTTGTTGGCTTCAATTAGGCCATAGATTGAGAGTAGACTAAGTTCTGCCGGAATCCTCTCCTAGAATTCAAAAGTGTATTTAGCACTAATGATTGAATCATATAACGATACATCAAGTATCACAGCTTTCTTTCAAAAAAGTGCAGAAGTATCTTCTGTACTAATTGGTCTTTTTTTATAGAGTCCGTGTTATTAATTCCATTGCCCCTTTGAATATCCCATCAGATAGAATTTTTGATAGATGAGTCGTTTGAACTATTTCTTGTGATGTTCTCGGTCTTTTTGCTCTTAACCATTACTTTCCACAAGTCTTTGCATGACCAATCATTTTAAGAAACATATAGGTTACTTTCCAAGCATCCATGAACTTTTGTAGCGTAATATATGTTTCTAATTGATCAAGCTAAAAATCTAATATTCTAGAATCTACGAAACCATCTTGCACTAGCACTTTCACCTTGGTTTCTGCCTTCAACAACTCTATGTCTAAATCAACTACCTTTGCATTATTATTGTCCTTCTCATCATTGTCTTGTGTGGTAATTCTAGGTTGAACAGGGGCGTGTGAGGTGTTCTCTCCCTATTTTGAGCCTGAAGTAACAATAGTCGCCCCTTACCTTAAAGGCATATTCATTGACTTTGGATACATGTGAGAATGATAGCCACATCATTAGATAGCTTTTCAACATTTTCTTCTAAATCAGGGTTTAACAAGGCTAAAGTCTCATTATTATTGTTGGTAGATATAAGTAGACAATGAGTTTGTAACACTGACAATGATTCTTTTGTTATTTTGCACCATTTATAGGTAGGAATAATACTTTGATACCAAAATATAATTTATAATTTCTAAAGGGCAATTGCTAAGTACTAATTTAAACTTATACCAAAATAAATTTAGGGTAAAAATTAAATAATCAATTCAATTTTAAAGGCCAACATGCCAATTATAATGATTCAAAAGAATCCTTATCTAATACTTCTAAGAAAACTCTAAATAGAAACTATAATTATCTCCAATGGTTGTTGGACATTCTTGGAGCGACTATGAACTCAGATCCTTCAAATGCACATCGATAGGCCAATCTCGATTCCTAAAGTTGAAGAGAACCTCACTTTTAGATTCTCTACCTAGTTGATCATGATTTTTTTTTTCCAAAAATGGTTGAAATTTCTAGAGGGTTTTCTGCAGTGTTTCTATTTTCTAAGGCTGGTTAGATTGTTAGACGGATTAGAAGAATCCTTAAGTTCTCTTTTTTATGACCCCTAGTGCTTTGAAGGGTTTAATAGTTCTTGGAGGTTTGGAAAACCTTAAAAGAATAGGTTTTCCAAGTTGGATTGATCTTTTCAGCTGAAATTTGCAAAAATAGTTTCTGTAGCGTGCTATAACTTGTTAAGTGCTAGAATTTTCAGCGTCTTACGCAACGGTGTTTGCACCCAGACAGACTCCAGCACATTATAATTTACTTTACAATAGTGTTATATTAATTTTCTTTTTTTAACAAAACTTAATTACATGCAAACTCTCAAATAGGCACTTTCCAACTCTAAACCCCTCAAGATTTCTCCTAAATTAGTATCACTAAAATTTTAAAAAATAAAAATAAAAGAAAAATAAATCAAACAATTTATCTTCATATATATCTGTTGGTTTTTTAAAGAGCTAATAATCCTCGTTAAATGTCTCTGAAACATTTCCATCCTTTCCATTCTTCTAATGCTTTCCTATCCATCTGCGATCTTCTAATAATGGTTCTTCCAAGTCATCATTCAGTGCAAGTTACTTTTCCACAATTCAAATCTGTTGAGCAAAATTCATAGAACAGTTAAGATAACATTATTCTTACAACCATTGGATTTGTAAGATCCACGTGAATAGCTACTTGTGTTGTCTAGTGAGTTCATTCTTAACATCAAATTTATCAATTTTGAAGTGGGGGAAGTTAGGGCAGATCTGCTCACAAATTGTCTTTGTTCAAATTTTGCAGATCCAATGGCTAAAATTATAAATTTGTTCTACTTCTTTTCGCTCAAGCCCTAGAAATGGAGAAAGAATCCCAAGTCTACACTACTCATATTATTGCAAGTTGAGAATATTCATTTCTAGTTCAATTGGTGTTCTAAACCTCTGTGTTTCAACAACATTCACATATGAATCCGTTTCTTATTTATTTTCATTTGATTACGTTCTAATATACACGCTAAGTCCTGGATTAAATTCTTACTCAAAGTTCAAGAGCCATCTTAATCCTTATCTAACTAGAATGTAAATGCTTTAAGTCAGACATCTTATTCCTTGGTCAAAAGAAGAGGAAAGAACTTCCTTGGAAAATTTGCTGAAAAATTGGGTTGCATATATTAACTTCAAATTTTCTAGACTGAATTCCTGTGTGTAAAATTTGCATGCTCCCTGGGATGACTGATGAAAACTAGGTCCTGAAGTGGATTTTGCGGGTGCTTGTTGCATGCCCTTTTCTTTCCCTTGCCAAGGATCCCATTGGGGATTCTCTTTTCTTTTTATATGTCAAGAGAGAAAGAAGGGCATGAACTTTTTGTACAGTGGCATAGCTACTTCTCCGAAGCATTTTTAATTGTTTTATGATCGGGAAAGATTGTGTTTGAAAATTAGAATTGAAAAGGAATATCAACAATCACATTGTAGCTAATTCAGCGGAATTAATTATAAAGACTCGGTTATATACGAAATATATTAGATGTGCTTAATTTGGTGAAATTTTTAATTCATTTTGAATTTTACATTATGAAAGAAAATTTCCCAATTTATTGTATTGTTTAGAGTTTTTTTAAAAAATTTTTTTATCTCAATTTCTTAAAAAAATTTACAAATAAATACCAAAAAATAAAAAAGTTGTTTTCAATTATTTCTCTCTATATTTAACATGATTTACTTGAATGCTAAAAAAGAACCCAAAAAAAAAAAAAGAAAAAAAGTCTAAACAAATTAATAAAATTATATTCTCAGAAAACTAATATTTTTTAATTGCACTTTCAGTTTTCCTTTTTCGTACCAAAATTCATAATCTAAAAAATAGAAATTGAAAAGTACTAAAATCAAATATCCAATGGTGATTTTCACAATAGCTACCTTCTAACGTAAGAAATTGACTAGATTTTTTTCCTGATGAAGCCCTTATACGACCTCCATGACATCGTCTTTAATGGATTATCATTTTCTTAAAAAAACATCATTGATGAATTATCAATTTCAATAATTCAAATGGCTGATTAATACACTTCCTCCTAACACTGTCACCTTTCAGTTATAAATTGTAATACTGGCATGCAAGGATTACCAGACCACAAGACTAAGTTATGTGAACTACAGCTGATGATTTTGGTAGATGATGCTGGAGGAGAATGGCCTATGATTGCACATGCACCCTGGAATGGCTGCAATCTTGCTGGCTTTGTTATGCCATTCTTCCTATTCGTCGTAGGGATGGCCATTGCACTTGCTCTCAAGGTTGGTTTATCAATTTTATTGAATATAGCAATCTGGTTTTACAAAATTGTCAGTTTTCCTCATTGAATCCTTGATCCTGGATAGAGAATATCAAATCAGCTAGCAGCTACCAAAAAAGTGATACTAAGGACTCTCAAACTCTTGTTCTGGGGGCCTCCAGTTACAGGGTGAGGCTTTTCTCTTGTTCTTTCTTTTAGTCTTTTTTCTTGGCATATTCATTACGTAATTAAATATAATTACTAGTTCTTTAGTCTGGTATATTTATTTTCTGTTAATATTAACACCATATCTGGCTACCCCAAGGATTGGATCTTAGATCCATCTCTGCTAATAGTTTCTTTTTCTACTACCCTCAATGTGTTTGTGGAAGTAATTGAAAAATAGGACTACTTGTATAGTTGCTGATTGTCAATCACGAAAGTTTCACAAAAGGCAGTTAATCATTTGTAGAGAAGTTACTGAAGGTTTCCATAAAAATTATCCAGATGTTTTCCTTTAGAAAGGCACAATCTTAACAATCAATTCAATATTAAAATCATCCATGGGCACATATAAAGCCTACAAGCTGTGTGTCATGAAATAATGCTATGATGCTTGAACAAACACATGTTGGATCTGGAGCATAGTTACCTGGTTCGCTCTACTCCCAGGTAATTTTGATTTGGGTTGAGCAACCCAATTCGTGGTGTGTTCTCTAAGTGTCTCGAATTCACTTTGCCCATTTTTAATTATTTAACTCAATTTATTAGTATAAATCAGTAGACAGCATTAATGGCTGATTTTTTTAGCATTAATTAGACCTGGTTGACAACAATTCTTTCTTTTTGATTAGAATGTAATTAGCCTAGAGTTTAGGGTTAAGAAGTGCATTTATTATTAAACATTTCTTTCCAAAATAAAGGTTGCAAAATAAACCTTCAAGCAGTTTTTTTTAAGGGAATATAATGCATTTATTACAAATTCCTTTCCCAAAGGCTAAAAATTAAACCTCCCAACTCCAACAGTTTTTTTTTTAGGAAATATAATGTGTTTATTAAGAATTTCTTTTCTAAAACAAATGCTGAAAATTAAACCTTCCAATAGTTTTTTTAGGGAATATAATACATTTATTAAGAATTCTTTTTCCAAAACAAAGACTAAAATTTAATCTCTATGTTTTAATTTATACTTTGATGAAAATTCTCCCATTTTATAAATCATATCTTATTATTTGATAATTAGAAATAAAAAATGTGTTCATAGTTACACACACACACACAACATGTTTATGAATGATTCATACAATAACTCTTAACCATACCACATCCTGAAATAGCATTCTCAATAAGCCTATCCTCCCAATGCCCTGTTTCAAAATAAGTTATGAATCACGTACCAATGTCCTTCCCCATCACATTCCAATTCAAGTGAGCATGTATAACTTGCACCAATGCATTGCATATTCTTGCATCACCTTATAACTTCATGTATGTCATCTTTATATGCATTATATAAAAACTAGTGATCTTAGGATTAAGTGAAGATTTATATAAAATTTTAATTATGAAAAAAAAAAGAGTGAGAAGAGAATAATTAAGAGATTTTGGAAAGTTTATATGATATAATGAGAAAAAAAATGAAATATTTAAATAAATCATAATGAGTTTCTTAAAGTAAAACTCTAAGAATTTGACACTTAAGAAACTAAGACAAATAGTTTTTAAACTAATTATATAAATAGGTTGTTTAAATTAAGGGATATGTATAAAGATATTTATGGCAAGGGGGGAATTTGAAATTTTGATAAAAGAGGGCTTTCTTGTAATTTTCTTTAAAAAGGGGTGCCTCGTATACGTAGAAGTAGCTTGCATTGTTCCAGACCCATCTAGACAGCCCGTGTAAGAGAGAAAATAGCAGAGAAAAAGAAAGAAGAAAGAGGGAGAAGGAAGAAGAGGGGAAGAAAGGTAAGAAAATCAAGAAAACTTTATAAATTTCTTAAAATTTTGTGAAATTTGTGTATATCTTGAATTGGTTTACAATTTAATCTCATTTAATTTGCTTAAAACCCTATTTTAAACTGCTACTGGGTTGCTGAAATTTTGCTAAAAACTGTAATCCGTGAGGTGAAGGAGTTGAATGATTTTGTTACCTTTAGGGAGACTTGGTAGAAAGCTTGTTGTGCTGAAAAAGATTTTTGAAATTCTGTGGGTAGTTTTGATTCTTAGTTGCTGTGTTTGATGCTAGAAAACAGGGAAAAACAGAGGATATTGTGTTGGGTTGGAGGAAAGAGAAGATGAAACAAGAAAGATGAAGAAAACAAAGCTGGAAACTGGAATTTGAGAGGAGGTTGAGCAGAAAATTTTTTTGCAGGAAAGCTTGTTGGGCTGAATTTTCAGGGGGTTAAAGTGAGTTAAAAATTTAGTTTAAAGTGTAGTTTAGATGACGATCAACCTAACTTAGGAAAGGAATTGGAAGAAGACACCAGTTAAGCTCAAATTATACAAAACTCAAGTGGTGAAGTCATGAAGGTGTGCAGAAAAAAACTGCAGAGCAGAAAAAAATTTCTGCAGTAAAAATTCTGCAGGGTTCTATGGGTTGCACAAAATTCCTAGGGGCTCAAGTGAGCCTAAAACCAGGTTTAATGGTTAACTTAGATGGTGGTTAATCCAACTTGAAAAGGAAAATTTAGGGAATTAAGAATTTACCTCAAAACCATGCATAGCTTAATTAGTAAACAAGAGAGGATGTGCAGGAAAATTTTTTGATAGAAAATTTCTGCAACTTATCTATGTTGGCTGAACCATTTTAGAGGGCAAATTCTGTTCTAAACCAAGCTAAGTAAGTGGTTTAAGAGATGGATAATCCAATTTAGTAAGAAAGCATTAAGAAAGACCCAAATTTGGCATAAAAACTAAATTTACCCAACTAAGAAAACTTGCTATAAGTGCAGAAAATTCTTCAAGAAAAAATTCTGATTTTGGAAGAGAATTTTGGAGGAGTGGTAAGCCTCATATGGGGCATAAGATAGAGGGTAGAAATAAGGGTTAAAGAGGGACTAAAGCATGGACATAAGTTAAGAAAGAAATAACTTTGAGTTTTAGCCTCTTAGATAAGTGTTAGCATTTTCTTTCTAGCAAATTAAGATATTGAAGAAATGATTTATGACTTGTAAAGAGCTCTTAATGAAATTAAAAATCTAAGTATAATTAAGTTAAGAAAGAGATTAAGGATGATTTTCAAAGAAATAAAAACATGTAGAGTAAGCAAGAGCACAATTCTAAAGTAAAGTAGAATTTAGAGCATCTAGAACTTTTAACATGTATTGCATCATACACCTGCTTTACTTATATTTACATCTTCTCCATTTGTAGGAGAAGGAGACCAAGCCGAGCCTAATACTGGCCGGACAGATCCCACCAGTCATTCATAGAGTCTATCTACACTGTTAGTGGCATATCTTCTAAACTTAGGTTTTTTATTATTTATTTTTTTTTATGAAATGCATGTTTTACGACAGATATAAATTGTTTTATCGACTATGAATGTATTTGATTATGAAAACGTGGAAACAGAGTGTCTATGTTCTGAATTCCAAAATATTTGCGGATTTTATGATTTTGTGAGATTTTGGTGCTTTGCATTCAGATTGAGAATGTTCGGCAGTCATCTGGGGCAGGTGATAGATCTACAGTCTAGATACAGATCTACAGTCTAGATTATGACATTGGACCCAGCGGGGTCTTAAACACCGCAGACTGTGTCAGTTTGACTTGGAGTGGTGACCCATGATGCAGGCTACACAGTGTAGTAGCGCCCAACATATTTTGCCCAAGTATGGGCTAGACTTGGCTTTTATGTTTTACTACCCTTAGACATTGTCGGTTGTGCACATCCGATCAGAGCTCTATGTTATGTAGTACATGATTATGATGTTTATGCCTCTTTTATGCTCTTTTGTTTTTATGAATATTATGGTGAACCCAGAAAATAAAGCACACTTTCTGTGATGTTCTACTCATGTATTTTATAATTACTTAGACTTTTAACCATGTTTATATGTATGTTATTATGAAATCTTCTCTGTTTCCGCAAAGTTTAGGCAATGTGCCATTCACTGGAACTTTAGTTCTCATACTATTTTATTTTTGTAGTGTCAGACTGATCATTGTAGCTCATCACCATTTGCCGAGCATACGCACCTAGTTTCACATCACACTAGTGGAGGTGGGCCAGCAGGATCTCTTTGGGGTTGATTAATAATAATACAATTTTGTAGTAAACTTTGTAGTTATACCATAATGAAGAGAAAGAGGGATTGTATTTTGGAATGTTGTTTACCATTTTGTTATTATAGGGGTTCATTAGTAGATGTTTAATCATTTATATGGGATATGCTTAGTTTGTGTATGTGATTTATTATGGCTGCTGCATAAGCAGAGTATGTGTTTAGGAATGTAAAATTATTTTACTGCCTAGTAGTATATTTCTGCATATAAATGCTACAGGTTGCAGGTTTTACAGGTCAGGTTGCCCTAGCAGATATGACGAGGGATCACAGTGGCTAGCATGCTGTAGGATTTTAGGCACCGGGAGGTGTTGGCCACTACCTCGCTGTCATGCCTCACATGGGTAATTTAGGAAGGGTGGGGTGTGACAATCCCGCATTCCATACTATACTGCAATCCATATAACTATAATCTAGAGTTAGTTTACTTGTAGAGTTCAAGCTGTTGCTTATGGTTATTAGTCAGCTCTTCTTCGGAAATATATGTATCTATATGTGACTTTGAGATTCCTGAGAAACCATATGCACTCCGGGAGGGAAGTCAAAGCTTTTGGGATTCAAATGTAGTTTGTACTTACCTATAGTGCACGGTTTTCCATTCCTGCAAGAAAAATAAATCTCCTTCTATGAAACTTAGGGTTTTTATGCATCCTGTAGGGTAATAAATGAACCTAACTAGTAACAACTGGATAAACATTCTATTGCTTGACAGTCTAGGGACTAGGAGGGCATACAGTATTTTTTTCGTGATGAGAAAAATTATGCATTTTAAATTAAGATGTACAAAAAATTACAAGCCTAATTTCCAACACCAGAGTTGAAGTTGTGGGTACACACCACACTTACCTTGGGGTTTTACTAATTGGGACCTATGGCCGTTGACAATCTAACAATCACATTTAATACTTTCAACATGGGCTTCAGGAATGAAATTCTCTTGTATAAATCATTTTCCTACAAGTATGCATAAGGTTTCTTTGAACACTGACTTAATTAACTACATTGTGGCATGGAGGAGGTTATTCACATGCTCTTGACAAGTTGACGTATGGTGTGGACATGAAAGAGATAAGGTGGTGTGGCATTCTGTAGGTATTGTTGCATATAATTCTCCCTAGTGAGGGATGAAATTTCATTTTTTTTTCCCATTAAAATGTCCCAATAATTTGCCTTTCCTCCAGAGGGAGCAAAATGAAACATAAGTGGATTAGTGAACAATGCACACTATGGTGAGCTTGTTTGACCCTTCTGACAAACTAGCATTGGAATCTCCCTTCTGAAAAAAACTTTAGAAGTTTTGTTTCCTTCTGTCAATTAGCATTGAAAGCTCAATTTGCCTAATTAATCAACTACTAATCCTTTTGTATTTTGATACATTCTAGCTTACTTGTGTTTCTTCTTGTCAGACTTTCAGATTTTTTTGAACATTTTGTAAAGATTCTGGAATGTTTTTGTTTCTTTGCAAACCTAAAAATTCAAACATTGATCCTTGTTCTTTAGTAGCCTGATGAAAAATTTTAGTTTTTATTAAGTTGTTTTGTGCACAATAGTAGTTTTTTATGCAGTGATTCATTTGATCTATTGTAGAGAATCACTCTTGCATATTTGGTCATTGAACTATTAGAGATTTCAACACAAAGTGCTCAAGCAAAGAAGCTATCATCTTGCAGATTCTCTATATTCAAGTTATATATTTGGCACTGGTTAGTTGGACGACTTGGTTTTTTCTTAATAATTGATGCCCCTGGTTATAATTTTTACACGATCCTTTCTTTGGGTTTTATTTATTTATTTATTTTATTTTGAATTGCAAGTTGGCTGGAGCATGCATCCTTATTCTTAGTTGGCTTTAGTATATGGAATTTATGTTCACAGACTGGGATCTCACTGTCCAGAATGTAGATTATGGGAAGGTTTTGAGGGTAGGATCTGCTTGCTCATATTGCGTTAGCCATTGCCACTCACCTGATGAATTATTCCTTTCAGTTACATGCCTAGAAACACTCACATGGTAATACTGCTTCTTCTGATAGATATAATGGAGATGCAACTGAACTGGTTTTCAACATGTAACAGAATCAGAAAGAGGATTAATATGTTATAATTTATTCAGAATATAGCCATTTGTTTACAGCCCCCTCCAATAATAAAAATACTTCTGGCAATTAAAGCAACTTTTCTCAAGCATGTACTTAAATGGTCTACCAGAGAAGGAAAAACGAGATATAAATGAATAAGAATCATTTGAAATGATAGTTCCTTGTTATTTTAGTAAGTAACTTCAGCAGTTGCATTATTTTCTGTGTTGATTACATTCTAAGCTCCAAGGTAGCTTGTCAGAGGAACAAAACTGCTAGGTTTAAAACCATTCACATATCTTCATTAATTTGTAAGTGTTAATTTCAGGTAACTTGTGGTGTAAGAGGAAAACTGGATCCTCCTTGTAATGCTGTTGGTTATATTGATAGAAAAGTGCTTGGAATCAATCACATGTATCACCATCCAGCTTGGAGGAGATCAAAGTCAGTAGTTTGTCGAACCTTTCCTTTATTGTATTCTCTGTTCTCTAGTTCACTGCTCAACCGGCATTCACGTTGTGAATGTCTTATCTTTGCCTACTACACTTCAGGCTTGCGCTGAAAATTCACCTTATGAGGGACCTATTCTAAATGATGCTCCATCATGGTGCTGAGCACCTTTTGAACCTGAAGGAATTCTAAGGTTTGTCATGCATCATGATTATTTATGTTTTATTAAGAATCATTTTTTTTAATAGACAGGACCCACCTAACACCAATAAGGAAGAGCTGATTTTCCCTATTTTTTGGTGCCCCCTTGTCAATATTAAGAACATGACTACATGTCGATAACTTTCTCTGTAAATCTGCTACCCTCTCTACAGTTACCAGATTCCATTTTGGGCATGTGCTTATCCATATAGATGTTTCGTATTTTCTTTTAAATTAAATAATTCTTCACATTCCAGATCAAGTTCCACTCATTTGTTGAATCTATTAATTTCAGAGTCACTCGTCTAGACTGAAGAATTGGGTTGTGATGGGTCCTGCACTCCTTGTTTTAGGAATGATACTTCATTTCACAAATCGTGAGAACCAAAGAGCATGAAATAGACGTAATCTTAAGATATATCCAGTGTCTGGTTACTCCTGATCTCACCTCTTTTTTGTTACAGCAGTTCCTTTGAATAAGCAGCTGTGTACTCTCAGTTATGTTTGTGTGATATCTGAAGCAACAGCTTTGGTGTTCTAAGCCAATTATACTCTGGTAAATTGACATAAGAAAATATTCTGTTGTGTTGATTTTATATTTATTTCCCGATACTTGAATGCGTGAGGTTTTATGTGGGTTTATGATCAATGTTTATAGAGTAGACATAATCATCTTTATATAAATTTTTTTTATGTAAAATTCTAACAATGTTGTTAGACAATATCCCACTGAACACTAGGTTTACTCATGGAACATGAATGTAAAATTTACTATCTTTATCTTCTGTGTTCTGAACCCTTGATGTAACGACCCGAGGCTACTTGCCCTAACAATTTGTTGAGTCTAAACCACTGGCCCAAAATGCTTAAGTTAAAGTTGTTCAGTAGTAGTCTCTAGTCTCTAATAAGCCCATGATCTCTCCCGTGTTTTGTCGATGTGGGATTTGCCTAAGGGTGTCACACACACTCACCCCCCTTTGGGGTGTCACATATACCCCCCCTTTGGGACTCAGCGTCCTCGTTGAGGTTTGCCCCACCATCGTTCAAGGTTGCACGCGGAGTGGCTTTGATACCATTTGTAACGACCCGAGACTACTGGCCCTAACAATTTGTTGAGCCTGAACCACTGGCCCAAAATGCTTAAGCCCAAGTTGTTCAGTAGTAGTCTCTAGTCTCTAATAAGCTCAGGATCTCTCCTGTGTTTTGTCGATGTGGGATTTGCCTAAGGATGTCACACACACTCACCCCCTTTGGGGTGTCACACTTGATCAATGTTTTTAAATTTTCTTTATTAAAAACATATTCATAAAACTTCATTAAAGGCTGCTTTGCTTGTTTACAGTTTGCCGAAGGCTTGGAGTAAAGTGAACAATTACAAAAAGCAGCACAGCCGAAAGAGCATATACACCCTTCCCTATCTTCAACAAATGTACATATTTAAACATATCCAATAAAATCCATCTCTTAATTTTCTTTTTTTTTTTTTAATAAGTTAAACTAAATTAGACAATCTTCTTGAACCGCAACTAAAAATTAAACGATTTCACACCAGCTCTGCCACGTTTTTTTTTTTTTTCTTTGTTTTCTTTTTGTTTTATTTCTTACATATATAATAAACGAATATTCATTTTTTAAATATCAAAAATTTAGGTAAGAAAAAATTTGTAAGAGATTGAGATCATTCGCATCTTTTTTATTAAGAAGATTGTATAATGAGATACAGATATTTTTAAGGTAAAAATTTGTAGGTTTACAAGAAAATATATTCACTTATATTTAAAATCAATTAATATTGCCAAAGCTTTTCCTCGCTCTTTCTATATTTTAGATTGAAATTCTTCCAAACTCTTGGCAAACCAAAACTCATGTATAGCAAAAAGGAATGTCCAATGTTGAGGTTAATTATAATTGCACGAGCATCAATCAACACAACACTTATTGCATGTGTTCCGTTAATTTAATTATACTTACCCAAACTTATATTGATCGAGCTTACCCCATGTATATAGGAATTTAAAATAATAAAATTAAAGTCAATTATAATCTCAATATTGAAAATAATTCTCCTGCATTTTGTCAATTTTTCTTGAAAAAATTAAGCTCATTATTTATCTCTACTTGAAGAAAGGGAAAAAAAAATTATACGTTGTCTTGACAATGAGACTAGCTAATAATAGTTTTTATTTATTAAATATCATAATTTTAATAATTTTGATTTATAAATTATTAAAGCACAATTATTAATATTTTATTTTCTTTGAACCTTTCACACTTCCTAAAGAGAGTGGGGAATAATTGTAAGTGCAGACCATTGACCATTGAATATTTAATTTCATAAAGACAAGTGTTTATTTTCCTATAACAATGGCCGAAAACCACTCATTTTCCTATTTCCTTTTCCTTTTCTTTCTTTTTTTTTTCTACCTTTTTTTCTATCTTTTCCTCCATTCTAACCAAAAAAGTTGAAGAGATGCAAATCTGCCTTGCCTCGCATTTCGCATTAGTATCGATTAAAGACTCTGTGTATGTCCGCTAAATTATTTAAACTTCTTGACTAAAAAAATATTATTTAGGTGACGTATAGTACGATGAGACGATTTTTAATGGAAATGAGAGTGGGAAGGGAAATGGGAATGGAATTGAATTAAAATTCTTATGAGTATATTTGATGCACACTGATAGAATAAGCATTCCTATTCTATCATTATATTTGGTATGTTGGAACAGAGATAGAAAAGCAAACAAAAAAAATGCTCAAAAGGATTCCAACATACCTTACATCACCTTACTTATTAAATTTTAACAACTATTATATTAACTATTTAAATTTTACTAATTTCAGTAATGCACAGATTGTAATTGAGTTGGGAAACTTTTTTTAGGTAAGAAATTTAATTGATAAATTGGTGATGGTTTAAGGGGTTAATATAAAAAGAATAGTGGCATTTTTGTCAAAAAAATTTAACAGCTCAACTGCGCCCCATGTTTCAATAATATGAGCAAAATTTAAACAATTAATATAACGGTTTGTAATGGCCTGATTTCTTTTTATTATTTTTATTTTTATTTAATTGATTTTTGGGTTGCTTTGCAACAATTGAAATGTTTTGGGGGTTAATTCAAAAATCTAAGGTGTTAATTGAAAGGAAACAAGCTCGGGTGACTGGATTGTGGCAGATGAGGAGGACTTTCGGTCGGAACCCAGTTGAAGGTCCTCAAAGCCAAATTGCTCCAATAGGAGCATAGCAACTCACCCAAAACCATGGGAAATTGTGTGAAAAGAAAAAAACGAGCGAGTGGGTGTACTCAATTTGAAGTTTGGAGTGAGTTAGAGAGGGAAAAGTTGTGAGGAAGGCTGTCGGCATCGGATGGAACTTTTTTGGAAATTTTTGGCTTTTTAAATTGAAATTCTCGAATTAAAGCTAGCTAAAGAGCTCGAGGACCACGGAATTTGGTTTAACAAGCCTCAAATCACCTGGGTAAGTGAGTTTTGCTAGATTTTTGGGGTGTTAATGGTGTTCGGATGCGTTATAGGAATCCAGGTCTGCGACTCGAGTTTTCGGGTGAAGATGAGAGACCTAGATGGTATTTGGGTCTATCCTGGGCTATTTGGGCCAGTTTGGCCCTGTTGGGCTAGAACTGGCTAGTTCAGGGCCTAGCCCCACTCAAACCAAAAGATTGGACTGATTCTCGATCTGGTAGAATAAGGAGAACAAGATGGGACCAAGTTTTAGTTGTGAATCGTTTCTGGTTCACATGAATTTTGGGGACTCAATGGGTAAACCACTCCATTTATTTGATTCTTGAGCCGATTCAAGGGCTTTAGGGCCTAGTTCAAGGTGTTTTTTGGGAGTTTTGATCGGTTCAATCCGGTTTTTTATAGTTTGAGGCTAGCTCATTTCAGGTTATGAAGAAACAAGTCCAGTTCACCCTAGTTTATGGGGATTTGAGCCCGTTTGGCTCGATTCATGGGAAATAGGGTCGTTCAGCTCGGTTCAACAGGCTTTTGGTCGGGTTCAATCCGGTTTTTGATGGTTTGAGGCTAGTTTAATTTGGTTATAAGGCTCGGGGGTCTTGTTCAAGCCGGTTTAATGCTTTTGGAGTCCGGTTTGTTTTGGTTTAAGAAATTGTTAAGAATGAGGTCAGGTAGCATTTTGGGGCACGAGTTAGCATTATGTACAGTTGTCTCGGGGGTCTCGGGATGCGTGTTAGGGGTCCGAATACAGGGGAGGCCCTAGGCCATTTTCAGTGACTGAGTCTTTTAGAATAAAATTCGATTCTGATTCTAACTTATGATTTGGTGATTGTAGATACTCCGAAGGGAGCACGCAAGGATCAGTGAGCCGTTTGCTAGAGATTCAATACCCATTTTTGCCGTGCTCGATGAGTGACAGTACTTTCTATACATGTGTCCGCATTTGGGTTTTTTGTTATCTTCTGTCCTCAAATTTCTGAATTATGATATTAATTTAGGGACATGTATCTATCTGTTTATATCTTGATAAACTTGGAACTATTTCTGTAAATATTTACATACACACCTCAGTGGTACGTGTATTTTTTTTCAAAAATTATCTGTTGGGAGTTTTCTGTGATTCTGATTCTGATTTTGGCACAAGATCTTGGTATGATATGTGATATGTGGTTTTGGCATGGTATCCTAGTGCAACATGTGTGATATGTGCTATCTGTTTCTGATACGGGATGTCAAGGGCTCAGCCAGTGGATGGTGGATCACCGTAGCGTGCGGGGAGTGCGCTAGGTCCCATAATGTGATATATGTGATTTTGATTCTGGCACGGGATCCTGGTATGATATGTGATATGTGATTCTGGCATGGGATCCCAGTGCGACATGTGTGATATGTGCTATCTGGTTCTGATACGGGATGCCAAGGGCTTAGCTAGTAGACGGTGGATCGCCATAGCATGCAGGGGAGTGTCTTGGGTCCAATGATATGATATATGTAATTCTAATTCTGACACAGGATCCCGGTATGATATGTGATATGTGGTTTTGGCATGGGATCCCATTGCGACATGTGTGATATGTGCTATCTGGTTCTGATAAGGGATGCCAAGAGCTCAGTTGGCGGACAGTGGATTGCCATAGCATGTGGGGAGTGCCTTGAGTCCAATCATTTGTATATATATTATTCTAGTTCTGACACGGGATCCCAATACGATATGTGATATGTTCCGATACTCTGACAGGTGTTTGATTTTTTGATTCTGACCGTGTTACCTGAGGCAATTGTGGTTTTTTGTAAACCATGTTATTGTTTATTAATTGTGATGATATTTGTGTTTAAAATTGAGATGCATGTTCCTGCATGTCTGAAATAGTACTCTTATTTATTGAGTTTTATACTCACCCTTTTTCCTCCCCTCCTTTCCAGATTTCAGCTTTGTCCAGTAGTAGTAGTTTCAGTGATTGACTTTGTTATTGCCGTATTGACTTGATGTACGGGCACATTTGTATATTTCAATTTTTGTACTCTAATAACTCTATGTATCACTTAGACGCATTTTTGATTTGTAT